ACCATCTGGGTGTATACAAAATGAAATGGCACAATGCAATATGAAGTTGAGTGCAAAGACTGTTAGGCACGGACTGCAGGAATTTGGCCTAAAATTCCATGAAAAAAAACACTTTTATCTCTCAAACAAAGACTAAACTGGCCTGAAATCCATGTTACCTGGACAGAAGAACAATGGGACAGTGTTATTTGGGGTGATGAGACCAAGATCTCCCTGTTTGGTAGTGATGGCATAAAATAAATAAGGAGAAGAATCAGAGAAGATTTGCATCCTTTTTACATTACATGTACCATGAAACACCCAGTCAGTGTTATGATCTGGATTTGTATGACATCAAAAGATGTGGCAGAATTTGTGTAATCAATGGGAATGTAAATGGCCAAAAAATACATTAATGAAATACTTGAGCCCAAACTGAAGCCTTCCACACATTATCTTTTTCAAGACAATTTATGTTTCAACAGGATTCAGCTCCATGTCATGTTGCTGCTGTGTGCAAAAAGTGGTTTCAAGATAATCATATTCCACTGATGAAATGGCCTGGGAATAGCTCAGATCTTAACCCAATTGAAAATCTATGGAGCTGACTAAAGAAACTTGTTAGTCAGGAGTGACCCAGCAATAAAAACCAGTTAATAGAAGCAATTATTCAGTCTTGGTTTCACATTATAACAGCTGCAGAACTAAAAGACTTGGTTTATTCCATAGGAAGATGCTGTAAGGTCGTAATTCATGCTAAAGATTACCCAACTAAGTATTAACTGACATGGTGATAATTTTTGTATATCTCATTTTTTCTATGGTGATAATTTTTGTATATTTCTTTCTTTTTTGTTAATCCAATTCTGTCTCTGTTCAGACCTAGCTGCAGGGAATTTTTGCCTATGAATATATCTATCTATCTCTTTATCTCTTAAGTGCTGACATCTACTGTGGGCTATTAAGGAAGATGGAGGCTGCTTTCTTCTTAGAAAACGTGTTTCTCCATTTCTAATCCAGGGAAATATATTCTTCCTTTTAAATATTTCTCAAAATATTTCATTCTTCTAGAGAAGGGTGGGTGCTAAGTTTCTACAATTAGTGCCATGTTACTATGCCATATTATCATGAGAGCAAATTATAACAATTTGGAAGAAGGATCCACTTATTATCAGTGAGCAATCATGTACCTTGGAGACTGGGAAGCAATGCAAAAGACTCCTGTCCCAAAGATGCTTTTTCAAGAGGCAATTGGACTTTCTGGAAAACAAGAAAGTCCAGTTGCCTCTTGAAAAAAGCACCTTTGGGACAACCATGTCCTGGATTTCTGAAGAATATCCATAGACAAGAAACTCCTATGCTCAGTGAACTGACAAAGCACCCAGAGCAATAATTAAATTCATTTGCATCAGTTAAAGATACCAGCTGGTTTCATTCACCTCATAAGATATCCTAAGGTCATCCAGATTTAAGGAAAAATTACTTGCCCTCAGAAAGACAGTAAAAAAATCAGACAGAATGTTAAGCTTGCATTCTGTCTTTCAGCCATTTCTTCTATGGCTATGCCAACCCTTCTGTAAGTAGCTGTTCAAGCCCCAGAAATAAAAGTACCACAAAAAAAACTCCATGGGGTGGGGACTCAGGAGAAGCTCAGCTACAGACAGAAAGTCTGGGTGTACTGCCAAGAACCATTAAGGCTGTCACAATATAACAAAGAGGCAATTTTTGAAAACACTTAAAGTGGCAATTGAGATAAGGATTAGGCTAGAAATACAGGCACACTAGATTCTTTCCTTCTTGCATTCCTTTGCAGGATTAGCCGTGTAAAGTGGGAAAAAGTTTCTTCCAACAACTGGTTCTCTGAACTGCTCAGAAAATTAACATATGGTTCAAGAGAACAGATACGAACTGGCAGGAACTCACCACTATGTAGGAATATCAAAATGCATTATTGTATATGCTTTCTTCAGAACCAGAAATGAAGTATATCAGAAGTTAATAGGCTAAACTCGCAAAGAGCAACAATAACCACAAGAACCTTCATTTTCACCCTGATCTAACCTTACAGCAATAGGTATAATCCCGGGAATGACATTCTGGGCTCAAAGGACTACATGAACTAGGTAATACTAATCTATACATTGATTACCATGCAGATTGTATCAAAAGTAAGAGCCACAACCCACATCACAATAACCATCACCCAAACATTCAACATTAGGGATGCATGCCCCTTACAACCTCCAGATCCACTACTTCATATCTTAAATGCCAACTATTCAATGCAAGAAGCCTTGCAAATAAAATGCATGAATTCCTCATCCTTCTAAGCAAAGCCACATTCAACATTCTATTTGTCTGTGAGATGTGGTTAAATGCATATTTCCCAGATTCCACTACCACTGTAAGAGAATATCAAGTTTATCGGTCTGATAGCAAAATCCGTAGAAGAGGTGGAGTTGCTATATTCTATAAAAAGTCTCTAAATCTAAAAAAGATTCAAATGATACATGAGATTGCTCTTCCTGAGACCATCGTCTGTGAATTGTCCTTAAATACCTCAATCCGCTTCTTACTTTGCTATCGAGCCCCTGACTATGATGTAATTCAAGCAAACAAGCTAACTTCACTACTAATGAGGACTGCCTCTTGCCTGCACCCTCTTACTTCTCTTAGTACCTCAACTTATCCCTTATAAATTAGACACTAAATGAATGTACATCTGAACCCATTCATACAACCCTGTACAATGCCGTTACCACACTGGGACTGGATAAATTAGTATATAACAACACCAGACTAAACAACTGCCTCGACCTCATCTTCTGCAACAGCTCAAACTCAATTTATGGCCTACAAATGCAGGAACCATTTTCAAACAGTAACCATAGCATGATTGACTTTTGTCTAAATTTACACCCTCTCAAAGAGGATCATAATGATGGGTCTCCAAAATACAATTTTATAAAAGCCAATTATGAACTCATAGCTGCTGACTTATCATCTCTTGATTGGCACATTCTGTTTTCTGGCTGTAACACTACAGAACATTATAACACTTTCTTGCTTGAATTTGAAAGAGTCATTAAACTATATGTTCCATTAGTAACCCCAAAAAAACAAAACAAAAAAACTAATGTATCCAAAGTAATAAGAAAACTACAATCTAAAAAAACTAAATACATAGCTAACTTTAAAAACCGATACAACACCTAATGCCGACAGATAAAGGCAGAATGCACCTATTACCACTGCAAGTAAGAGGAAAATCTTCTATGCACAAAATTTACCCGTGGCTTCTATAACTTTGTAAACACCACATTTAAAGACTAAAAAGCCATCCCATGCCTAAAAGGTCCTGATGGGAAAGACTATAGTGATGAAGCTGTTCAGGCAAACCTCTTCAACACATTCTTCAGTTCAGTCTTTGTTAACAGTAATGGGTCATGCCTAAACATTTCCTAATCCTACAATAACTAACTGCAATGATCTACAAATTGACTTTACTGAAGATAATGTAGCAAATGCAATATGCCACCTTAAACCATCCTTATTTATTGGCCCTGATGGCTTACGTGCATTCTTCTTAAAAAAAAAAAACCTCTCCATTACCATAGCACTAAGCATAATATATATATACCAGCTCCTTACCAAACCTTTAGCAACAGTCATCCCTATTTTCAAAAAAGGTGACCCCTGCTTGGTTGAAAACTACAGACCAATCTCATTGTATTATGTCATGTGCAAAGTTATGGAATCAATTATTAATCGATGCATTACCTTCCACCTAGAGTCAAACAATTTACTCTCCAATAAACAATTTGGTTTCAGAAAAAAAATGTCCTGCAATTTGTAACTTCTACACTGCAAAAACATTTGGACTGCACTTCTTGACCAAGGTAAAGCAATAGATGTAATTTACATTTACTTCTGCAAAGCATTTGACTCAGTGGTACATGACACACTACTATTAAAATTAAATTCTTACGGCATTTCCGGATCCCATCACAAATGGATTACTACCTTTCTGTCAAACAGGCAAAAAATAGTAAAAATAGGAAACGCCCTATCAAACCTTGCACCAGTTATCAGCGGTGTTCCCCCAAGGGAGCATTCTAGGACCCACACTCCATATAAATGACCTTTGTAATCACCTTATTAGCAAATGTGTCCTCTTCGCTGATGATGTAAAACTATTCAACACCACCATCAATGCTACCATCCTTCAAAAAGACCTTCATTATGTGTCTGAATGGTCTAACAGTTGTCAACTCCAAATCTCTACCAACAAATGCTCTGTCCTACACATTGGTTAAAAAAAAATCTATATACCAAATACAAGCTAGGTGGATATGACCTTGTTGATGACCCTCACTTTGTCAAGGACCTTGGAGTTCTCATATCGAATGACCTAAGTGCCAAAAAAGCTTTAAGAGTTGTAAATTTAATTTTACGTAGCTTCTCCTCTGGTAATACTGATTTGCAAACTAGGGCATTCAAAACCTTTGCTAGACCAATACTTGAATTCAGCTCTGCTGTCTGGAATCTGCCCTGTATATCAGACATATATACAAGTTTTTTTAAATAATGTTTATTGAAAGTTTCAAAAAAAAAAAATTAAAAAAGGAAAAACATGTTCTCACATTTTTGCAATGTTTTCATAGTAGTGTACATTTATATTAGTGTCAGTTAAAGTCATTTGTTACAAGTAAATCTATAACTTATTTCTTAAATCCTTACTTTTTGTTATATTATCACTACAATTATAATACAATATTTATTTAATTATATTACTTTACATATATACATAGCTATGTATACATTTATCCTTATTTCCATCTTCCCTTGTTGTTTGTTTAATCAGTTTCACTAGACATCTTTACTTCCTTTTTATATATATTCCAAAATGTATATATATATTATATATATGTGTGTATTCCAAAATGTAAAAAACTCTCCCTCTTCCTTATTTTTAGTAACATGGTTAATCTAACCATTTCTGCACATTGGTGGATTAGTTATTATTGCCAGGTCCGTGGGTATCATTGTTGATTTCCAGTTTTGGGCAAAGATTATCCTTGCCGCTGTGATGATATGTGATATCAGATGCTGGTGTTTTTGGCTCCATGTCGGTTCTGTCATTCCAAGTAGAAAGGTCTCTGTGTTGAATTTAATCTTTGGTTTTGTCATCTCTTCTAACCATGTCTGTATCTTACACCAGTATTTTTGGGCTTTAGGACATGTCCACCACATGTGCAAATATGTTCCCTGGCTAAAGTTACACTTCCAACATTTGGGTGACATATTAGGGAACATCCTAGTAAGTCTTGCTGGTGGGAGGTGTCAGTGATAGAACATTTTATAAATATTTTCTTTATATGAGACTGATAACATTAATTTATAGTTAGTTTGCCAAATTTGTTCCCATTGTTCTAATTCAATATTGTGGACACAATTTTTAGTCCATGTTATCATGCTCTCCTTAACCATTTCCTCTTCCATTTTGAATTTCAATAAACAATTGTACATTTTGGTAATCATCTTTTTTTCACTTCCTTGTAAAATTTTGTCTAATTCCTGATCTGTTTTATAAAATCCAAATTGTTCCTTGTCTTTTTTGTGTTTTGTTTGAATTTGAGCATACGTCCACCACCCAATTTCAATTCCCTATGTTTTTAATTGTATCTGTGTTTTCAAGTCGCCTTCATCTGTTATTAATTTTTTATATTTTATTGTTTGTTCAGATCCATAACATTGGGATATACTAGTGCCTCCATTGGAGATAGCCAGAGAGGTATTTTCACATAATGGTTTCTTTTAATTCTTTCCCATATATATAAACAAAGCATCCCTTATCCAGTGTCTTTGAAAGTAGCTATGGGTTTTATTTTTTCCATCCCAGAGAAATGTGTGCCAACCAATCTGTAAATCAAAGCCTTCTATTGTCAGTATTCTTTTGTTCTCCAGGTTAAACCAATCTTTGATCCAGGTACTTGCTGCGGCTTGATAGTATAATTCAAAGTCTGGGAGTGCCAATCCTCCCTTACTTCTACTATCTTGCATTAATTTGTATTTTACTCTAGCTTTTCTCTTTTGCCAAATAAATTTACTAATTCTTTTGTTCAGATCTTCGAAGAATTTTTTCCCTAGTTTGACTGGCACAATTTAAAGAGATACAACAATTTTGGAAGTACATTTGTTTTAATGGTGGCTATCCTTCCCATCCAAGAGAGTTATAAATTTACCCATCTATCTAGATCTTTTTGTATCCTTTCTATCAACTTGTCGTAATTATCAGCCTTTATTGTAGGGCATTTTGCTGTAAGCCAAATTCCTAAATATTTTACTTTTTTCATTGTCTGAATCCCTAATTCTTTTGTCAGTTCCTCATTTTGCTTTTTAGTACAGTTTTTGGTCATTAGTCTTTTCTGTTGATTTTGAGTTCTTCCTCTGTTTATTTTGAGTACTTTACCAAATGCCTCTATCTCTTGCATTAAATTTTTGCTTGACTCTTTTGGCTCCTCCATCATGAAGATCATGTCATCAGCGAACACTTGCAGTTTGTATGTTTCCTGTTTAATAGCCAACCCTTGGATCTTTTGATTTTTCCTTATCTGGGTTAACAACACTTCCGCTGATAAGATATATAATAATGGAGCAAGCAGACATCCCTATCTGGAATCCACACTGTATATCAGACATAAATACAATTGAGCAAGTCCAGAAGTATTTTACCAGAAGAATACTACATTCCTCTGTTCGCAACAAAATACCCTACAGCATCAGACTTGAGATTCTAGGCTTAGACAACCTTGAACTATGCCGACTACGATTGGATTTAAGCATAGTACATAAAATCATATGTTACAACATCTTACCAGTTAATGAAAATTTCAGCTTTAACAACAACAACACAAGAACACACAACAGATATAAACTAAATGTAAACCACTCCAAACTCGATTGCAGGAAGTACGATTTCAGCAACAGAGCGGTCAGTGTCTGGAACTCACTAGCTGATTCCATTGTGACCTACTCTAACCCCCACTCCTTTACCCTCAAACTAACCTCTATTGACCTCACCCCATTCCTAAGAGGTCTGTAAGGGGCATGCATAAGCGCACAATTGTGACTACCGTCCCTGTCTTATTGTCCCCAATTATTATTTCCTATTTCTTGTATTTAAACTTATGTTTATTCTTGTTTCTGTAGTATTGTAAGTTTTTGACAAATAAATAAAATAAATAAATAAATAAAAATAAACTCATTGGGTGACTTTGTCCAAGATACATTATTGCAGCCCAATGATTAGGGTTAATTGTTTGAGGAAATAAAAGGAGGAACCATTCTGTTTCCTGTGTTAATTTCCAGAAGAAAACATAAGATATGAATCTTGTCCTTCAATCAACAAGGAAACAGTCAAGTAAACAGTATTGAAATGAAAAGCCAGGAGGACAGAAACATCTATAGAGCTCTTTCTTCTTGTTTTCAGTGATTTTCAAACTTTTTCTCAAAGCAGGTATACTTTGTTTTAAACTTACTTCAATTATTTTCAAGTTTTTTGGGATGAAAGTATGAACAGAATGCAGAGAAATCTGAAATTATCAGTTTTCAACTAAATATTTATTTCAAGCTTACTATAGGGTGTTGAACTTAGCATAATTCCAGCATCATATTCAGTTCAGAATTTTCCAGCAATGGGTTTTAATGACAAGGTTTTTGCTGACCAAGTCTGTGATAATAAAAAATAAAAAATGTAGTGGTAAACAGATAAACAGAATGATCCAAAGCAGGCAAGAAAGTGCTTGAAGCAGGAGCAATTTACAATTTTCTACAAATTCCAATTGACTTTGCATGATTCTGTGGATGTTTCAACAGCAGCAACTTTACAAATAAAACTGGTCTGAACATTGTGGAATTTTCAATCCCAGAGGAGTAATGAGTCCTGGATTATTATTTTTTTATGCATTCTTTAAATTAATGTATTTTAGGTACCTTCCTTTAAAAATTGTTTTGATGTAATGTAGATATATGGAATTTAATTCGAGGGTACAAGTGAACAAAAAGGTAAACACAATGAGAGTTTTAGTAGTACATAGATTCAAATCACAGGGTGTAGAATATGTCATTTAATGGGGTGAAAATTAATTTTTGATTTTTTTTTCAGTAAGGGGTTCTAAATTATGTGTTTTTACACCAAGAATTCAAATCTGCTGTTATTTTTGCAATTACACAATGTTTAGCTTGGTATGGTAAATCTATATCTGATCATATACCCCACAAAAGTCTCTTGTAATCCAAATACTGTTAACTTTATCTTCTCAAAATTACACCTTCGGCTACAAAAATTAAGTTTTTTTCTGCATGAATCTTATCTAGCTAAGCAAAAAAAAAAAATCCACGCAATCATAAACTAACATCAGAAATCAATTATCTAAGTTACAAAAATTTTAAGCGAGTTACATTAAGCTTTGTTTTGATTTATTCTTTGACATCAGCCACTGATTTGCTTCTTAACCTTTGATATAACCCTTATGTTTTTCATGTGTGTATGCTCTGCTTATTACCTCTATGACCTGTTTCACAAATCTCTCTATTGATTGGCTATGACAGGGTGATTATGGTACTTGCATGGATTTGTCAATGAATTTCTTTTCCGCTGTAGTCAGTTTGCATGTCAAAGGTGGGTCATATATACCTTCAGACCAGTCATACACCAGATTATCTGCAAACACTTGAGCAGTTTTTCCTGTTTTTGAGCCTTTCTCTGGAGTGAAATAATAAAGATCTTCACCCATGAAGAATAATGTTCTTCACTGATGGTACTGGGGAACTGATGGTTTGAATTGTTTGAGTCTTACAAACAATGACGGATTCACTGCTGAAGGATTCTGGTCTGAACAGGTCATATTGGGGTGAAGCCATGTTGAACTGCTAATTATTTAATCAATGCTATTAATGATATGCAGTGCTATATGGGAGAAAGCCATCTCTGGAAATTTTAAGGGTTTTTGGAAGCAAGGCATGGGGGCATATTCCAAAAGCAATAGGAGAAAAGGTCAAACAAAGGCTCAGGTTTACAGGCTATGAGCCTGGGTCAAAGAGCTATCGCTTTAGCAATGGGAGCAAAAGAATAGTGATTTCCGAGTCTGTTAGTTTTGCAGAGCAAAATTGGAACAGAATTGATGCCAATTTTTGGAATGATTCACTTAGTGGTGGTGATCCACTTAGTGACAGTAACTCACTTAGTGATGGTATCAGTGTTCAGGAAGGAGAAGCTAAAAAAGAACAAAAAGTTAGGAGAAGATGATGACTCAGATATGAAGCAAAAGAGGGTTGAAACATAGGAGTAGTCAATGCCACACAATTCAGAGTGATGGAACAAGGGGCTTCCACCTGACAGATACTGCTAGTGAAGTAAAGGTGTGGTAATGTGTGGTATGAGCCAAGGAACTATAAGGAAGTATTGGCATTATCTAACATTGAACAAGTGAAGTGGAAAGAAGCTATGGACAAAGACACAAAATCTATGGGTGAACATAAAGTGTTTATATCTATGATTTTGCCAAAAAAAATTGCAAATCCCTGGGATGTAAATGGGTATACAAAAAGGAAGTATTACTCAACAATAAGGTCCAATATAAGGCAAGATCAGTGGCACAAGGTTTTGAAGCAGAAATTCAAATCCAGAAAGCACACACAGATGACTGATTTAGCAGGATTCATTAACTTCTTTATATACATAGTAACATTTGAAGTAAAGTTTACAATACCAATAGTAGATTCTTCCAACGTGGTAAAGATTACAAGCAAAAACACAAACAGAAGCTTCAGAGTTCAGAGCAGAGACTAGATCCACACCCAGGCTACTTCTAGTTTCACTTTCCAATTCAAATCTATTGCCATGCCAATTCATTGATTGACTTTGTTACTAAGCTTTATTCCAGTTCATGAATATACTCTGACATTCCTCCCTTCATAACTGGAATAGAAATAACTCCAATTAACTTAATATTCTTCCCATGGTGCACTCCACCCATTGGCTTGGTCATTATGTCAGCCAGATTGTCTTCTGACGCATAGTGAAGCAAGCTAATCAATCTATCTTTGATGTTTTTTCTTACATTACAATATGTAATGCCCACATGCTTGCTTCTATTTGTTACTGTCACCTGTTGCTATTTTAATGTAGGCAGCATTATCTTCATAATCAATTACAGCTTCATTTACCTTTACATTTAAATCTTGTAACAGCTGTACATACCAAGTTATCTCTGAACAGAGTTCAGACAAAGCAATAAATTCTGCCTCCACAATAGAAATGCTACAGTTATTTACTTACTGGACTTCTAACTAATTAAAGCCCCTCCAAACAATATCACAATCTCAGACTTTCTGGTTTTTACATCATTTGCATAATCACTATCAACATAGCATTTCAATTTTAATTCTTTAGAGACCTGTATTTGGAGACCCAAATTCACAGTTCCCTTCAAATATCTGATAACTCTTTTTATACCCATTCACATTGCTGCAGCAGTAAAGTGACTTAAGATATTTACTGCACAATCTATGCCTGGTTTGGACCACTGTGACAAATATAACAGGCTCCCTATTGCTGACTGATATATCTTGTACCAAAAAGGAAGCCTACACAAAAGGTGTCAGAATACTGTACAATCAGGCCAGAAACATATTAACAAGGGAGATCAGAGCAGCAAAAAGAAGCTACTCTGAAAAGCTAAGGAATTAGTTCTCAACAAATGAACCAGGAAACATGTGAAAAACTCTTATAAATATAACTGTGTCAGAGTATATTCATGAACTGGAATAGAGCTTAGTAACAAAGTCAGCCAATGAACAGTCATGGCAACAGACCAGTCAATGGGAGCTGAATTGGAAAGTGAAACTAGAAGTAGCCTGGGTGTGGATCTAGTCTCTGCTCTGAACTCTGAAGCTGCTGGTTGTGGTTTTGCTTGTAATTTTTCCATGTTGGAAAAATCTACTATTGGTATTGTAAACTTTACTTCAAATGTTATTATTTATATATGGAAGTTAATGAATGCTGCTGAATCAGTCATCTGTGTGTGCTTTCTGGATTTGAATTTCTGCTGCAAAATCTAACAGGTGATGGGCCTAGCCCAGAACACACAAAAAGACTTAATTGTAATTTAAGCTGAGAGAGACTGCCTGTGTTTAAAAGGAAAGTCCAATTTTGTGATTGTGGTATTATTTGGAAGGGCTTTAATTGGTTGGAAGTTCAGAAAATGAACAACTGAGGGTGGGGCTGGTATTGCAGCAAGAAGAGGCAATCCCCTGAGCTCCAGGGAAAGTCACTGAAATCCCTGCAGCCAGACGGTCCAATTGAACCCGAACTGTCCCGGAGAGGCAATAAGTGAAGGTAGCACACCCTGGCTGATCCAGGAAAGCTCCTGAAGCCCGACAGTGGAGAGAAGTGGCTATTAATGCTGCTAAGAATCTGTGACAGCCCTGGAAGGAAAGAAGACTTGAACAGAAAGTGTGTCAGTTTGAGTGAGAAATTTCTTTTTTTTTTCTAATAAAAGATAGAAGAGTACCCTAAGGGGAAAGCTTGTTTAAAAGAAAGAAGACAGAAAAGTGGAGAACAGCGATGAAACACATGGCTAGCTGTCAAACTTTATTTGGATTATTTTATTTTTATCTTTTTGCTTAACTGGACTAGATTTTGTAACGTTACTTTTTAGAAGAACTTTAATTTTGTTTTTAACCTGAAAGATCTGGACCTGGTTTGAATTTGGAATATTGCTTTTTTATTTTTCCTGATTACCCTTATATTTCTCATTAACAAGTGGACTATATTTGGAAGTTTTTATTTTTTTCCCTTTTTCTTTTTTATTTGAAGCTGGTGGATTTGTACTTTTGAATTATTTTCTTTTTCCCCTTTCCTTTGCTATATTGGATTTTTGGATTTTATATTCTTTTTAGATATTCTCTTCCTGTTTCTTTTAAAATTTTTCTTTTTTCTCTTAAACGTTTTTATTCCTACTTCCTTTTTAACATTGGATTAAGGTAGAGAAGAACCTGAATATTCTATTTTTGATCTTTTGCGAGAACCATCCTGAAATGAGAAGGACAACTACCACTGGATCATCAACCACCTCCTCATTGCTGAGCCCAACTGGTCAACGATCCATAACAACCTTGTTGCAACAGGATAGAGAGAAGGAAAAGGAGGTCTCAATGCAAGAAATAAAAGTAATGCAGCAAGCAATACAAGACTAAGGGAAGCATACAGATGATAGAATTGGAAATATGGAAGAGAAGATGGGAAGGATAGAAGATACAATGGAAAACATGCAACAAATGATGATGAAAAATGAAGAATGCAAAAGATGGAAGAAAAAGGTGAACAGACAAAGAAGAAAGTAGGAGCAATAGATAACAGATAGCAGTTGAGCACAAAAAGGGGAAAGAGATGATACCTTGGGAGATGGGCAAGGCTAATTTCTACTTAAGATTTCAGAATATTGAGGAAGAAAAAGGAGAAAATATTGCAGAAATTATAACAGCAGGAGCCTTGGAAGTAGAAAAGATGATGGATGGAATGGATGAAATATACCGAGTATATACTAGATATGCTATGAGGAATAAATTACCAAGAGAAATCCATGTAAGATTTACCAAGAAAACAATTAGAATAGAGATACTACAGAAAGCAAGAGATGACCCCTTGAAGTATAAGGAGAAGGAGATCAAGGTCTTAAAACAAGTACTAAGGAAAGTGAGAGATTTGAGAAGAGAATTTCAATTCTTGACAAAGATTTTAATCAAGAAAGAAGTGAACTATAGATG